AGAAAATTGAGTTTATTTCCTGCCTTAAATAATATGCAGCAAGAGCTGGAGAAAGTATAAAACTTTTTATACTTAGTAAACTACATCTTTTGTAGATCTGCCATGAGATCAACAAGGTCTCCTTTTTTTAACATGTTGTTTATTTATATCCTGCGCTGTTGGTTACTGACAGCCTATGTACAACAAGCAGTAACCATGTAACTGCAAGCAGATCACCAAAGAAGCAAAACAGTATGGAGTACTGATGTCTCTGCCACCTAAAATTACCATAGCAAAGTTTGAAATGTCAAAGTAACAGGCAAACATGTTTACATTTATTTAAATGTTGTATGCCCTAAGAACTACCACTTAGATGGAGCATAAAGGTTGAAAAAATATACTTTTACAGACAGAATGATAAAATAATAATTACCTCTTCTTCAAGTCTGCCATCTCGCAGGGTAGGAGGTATCCCTGGGTGCTTGGCTATCAACAATTCCATCAAGTTATGGGTAGCATGAAGTCTCTATAGACACACCAAAGGCAATAATTACAATGGTCAATGCAGAGGCAGGACTCTAGAGAGAACCTACTACTCATATGGCATACAGAGCACTAACACCATATTAAGACCATATCACCAAATACTTTTTCCTCTAAAACAATATGACTATCAACTTTTTGAGAGAAAAATGATGTCAGTTTTACAGCAAAGGTCTTAAATTATGAAATGAATTTTCTTCAGTTAAAAATATACTGTCCTACGCAGTAAGGCTATGCATTTAGCAGATATATTTCTTATGTTATATATACACTTGTCTATATAAGGAAGCGAGAGTAAGCCAAATAAGTTCAATAAAGTAGAAAGGCTAACCGCACTGACTTGATTCCTTTTCTCCTGGGAAATGAGTTTGGATGAACCTAGCCATTATTAATATATTATGATAAAAATAAGGATAATAAAATAAATAAGAAAGCAGGGTTATGAAATCAGGTGAAAGTAGTTTCTATCTGTTAACTTGACATTTTACTGGGAAGACAGCTAAGGGCTAAAGGATGACAGGGAAAGAGTCCTGGTAAGACCTGATTTGGTGCCAGTCATTTGAGACTTTAAAGGTTCATTCTGTTCGGCTACATGTTACTGGCCACAGTACAAATCTTTGTAGAGTCAGTCTTAGAAGAATTACCTCAAATGTCTTCGGTCTTGTCAACGTGGCTTCATAGACAATATAATCAGTAACATCATTAGAGTTAATAGCAAAAAAAAAAACTTGAAGTGGTAGAAACTTGTCTTCTCTATGTATGCTTGTGGAAGAGGACTTCTGTAATTTTCTGTACATGGTGGTGAAATGGGGAGAATACTGTGATCTCTTTCCACCCCCTTATATATTTTATCCCAAGGGAACAGAGTGGCTGATCTGACTGGACAGAGCAAGACATTTAGTGAGCCACACTTTACCAGTGAGTGGGATTACTATGACTCAAAAGCAAGAACCAGGCTGATCGCTTACTCTTCACGCTTGATTTTAGGCATACTAGACTTACCTATTTCCTTGCCCATTCTTCTACTTTATTTCCTTTATTCAGGAGAATATCTTTGCACTCCCTCCTGAGATAAACACACTTGCTTAAGGTCTAGGGACTGCCTTCTGTAATTCTTATCCTTGTAGAATATAAGTAGATGTATACTTAATTTTTTCTTCTTCCACTCCCCCGTACATTCCTCCAAATACCCACTGTGGCACATGTGAATATGTTAGTCCCAAGGTCAATATTCTGAATGGTAAAGTCATCTCACTTGGGACTTCAAGCCTAAACTTGCCAAAATTAATAAAATTGGTCTTTATTTTCCATTTAGCTAGATAGCCTTGTTTATATGATCCACTGAACAGAACCAAGGTGGCAAAGAGAAATAAGTGTTATAATTGAAATATCCAAATCTCCCTAAAAGACCTCTAAAAATTAAATTATAAGATTATTGGATAGGTTTTATTACTTAGTTCCACTGTTGAGTGTAACTTCTTGTTGGTAAAAATTCATATGCAAAAATGATAAAAATAACCTATTCTTTGAAGTACAAATAACTTGAACTATTTTTCTAATGTAGATTACAAATTTATCTTGTCAGGCTTGTGGCCAAAACTGGCCCGAGCAGATGGAATAGTACTGATTCGCAACTTTATTGTATGTATGAATCACCTTGGGTACTTATTATAATAAAAGGACTGAATCCCAAGCTTCATTCTCAGTGATTATGACTTAGTCTATTTCTTAACCTTTAT